CCCCCTGTGATTTAGCAATCACATGACTCTAGGACAGTGGTTCTCAACCTTTTTAATGCCGCGACCCCAACCGGTCGTAAGTCGAGGTCTAAACCGGTCGTAAGTTGAGGACTAAACCGGTCATAAGTCGAGGACTACCCAACCGGTCATAAGTCGAGGACTACCCAACCGGTCATAAGTCGAGGACTTTCCCTGCCCGGGAGCGCCGCGCATGCGTGGTTCCGCCCCCTGCGCCGGCCGAGGCGTAGCTGGCAAGCGGCAGAGATGGAACAGGCCGACCACCAGCTGGCCCAGCCCAAGGGAGGTAAGGCACCCACCGGAAAAGGGGAAAAAAATGGCGGACAGCCTTGCTTGGCGACCCCCATGAAATGGTCGATCGACCCCAAATGGGGTCCCGACCCACAGGTTGAGAACCACTGCTCTAGGAAGCTGCAACCATCGTAAATATATGCTATTTGCCAAATGCCCAGATTTTGATCATGTGACCGTGGGGATACTGTGACAGTCATAAGTGTGAGGACAGATCATAAGTCATTTTATTATAATAATAATAATAATATTATAATTATAATAATAATAAAGTTGGAAGAGATCATCTAGTCCAACCCCCTGCTCAGGCAGGAAACGCTATACCATTTCAGACAAATGGCTGTCCACTCTCTTAAAAACTTCCAGTGAGAGCAGATAAGGAGGGAGACCCAGGCGACATAGTATTGAATAACTGGAGGTTGTATACATATTTACAGACGTATATACTGAGAAGGTTAGATAAATAGAAGTATTAATGTAAGAGAAAATTAATCTTATTGTATATAATACAGATAGGGAAATTTGGAGAGAGGAGTTGCTCGGACATTACCCCTGAAGAGGGATGAGAGGGAAGAAAGGAGAGGAGAGAGAAAAGAGTAAAGGAGGGGAGAAGGAAGTAGGAAGACTGGAGGAGAGAGTGGTGAAAGAGAAGAGGAGAGGAGAGGAAGAAGAGGGAAGTAGGGAAGAAAGAGAAGGAAGGGAGAAAGGAGAGGAGAGAGAAAAGAATAAAGGAGGGGAGAAGGAAGTAGGAAGACTGGAGGAGAGAGTGGTGAAAGAGAAGAGGAGAGGAGAGGAAGAAGAGGGAAGTAGGGAAGAAAGAGAAGGGAGAAAGAAGGTAGAGAAGAAGGAGTAGGGATGCAGTAAAAGGGGAAATAGGCGAGCAACACCAAAAGTCATGTGCACGTATTTATTTCATTAAAAGTATCTTATATATAAGAATGTAAAAAGAATGTATGTTAATATCTGATAAATATCACAGTATATGTATGGGGGAGAGTTTGGAAAAATAAAAAATAAATTAAAATAAAAAACAAAACTTCCAGTGTTGGAGCATTCACCGCTTCTGGAGGCAGGTTGTTCCACTGGTTAATTGTTCTCACTGTCAGGAAGTTTCTCTTTAGTTCTAGGCTGCTTCTCTCCTTGGTTAGTTTCCATCCGTTGTTTCTTGTCCTGCCTTCAGGTGCTTTGCAGAATAGCTTGACTCCCTCTTCTTTGTGGCCGCCCCTGAGATATAATTCCTGTCCCCCCTCGTCCTTCTCTTCGTTAAACTAGACATACCCAATTCCAGCAGCCGTTCCTTATGTGTTTTAGCCTCCAGTCCCCTGATCATCTTTGTTGCTTTTCTCTGTACTCTTTTTTTTCAGTGCCATTGTAACTTTGGACAACAGCTAAATGAATAGCTGTAAGTCTGTGTACAGCAGTAGTATTTATGCTAACACAATCATTTGGCATAATAAAAATGGATGGCTGATAACCTGTAGCATTTTATATTGATTTCATTGTGACTGTCAGGTAGTCACTGGACGGCAGTAAAATTAAACTGGATTTCACTTCCCTGTGGTGGCTGTCTGGGTTTTTGCAGCCAAGATCTAGGTTTCCAACTTACAGGTACTCTTTACACTTAAATCAGGATTCTTCAAAATTATTGAAAATGATTAAAATCAAAATAGCAAGAACATAATCGAATCCTTGTTTGCATAAATTCAATTAAAGGTAAGAGTTGTATTTGTCCTACTTAATTAGCTAGAATATATATTCTGATCAAGTGTCTCCAGGACACTTTAACATAAAATAAACCATTATTTACCAGAAGAATTTTCAAGAGAATTTTTAAAGAATGAATTAAATTCTACTAGACTTTTTTTTCCCACTTAGTTTGATGATGGGGCATATCATGTTTGCACATCATGGTAAGCCACTATATAACTTCCTTGCAATCAAGGATATTGGGCGGATTCCTGAGGTGGACTACTATGCCCTCAGATATTTTGTTCTGTATCTCACCTGGCTTTTTAAGAGATTCTAGCAATACAAAGATGGCAGCATTGGTTGAAATCCCCAAAATTATTTATTTGCAGAAATGAGTTACAAAGCTCTAGTCCAGGGCTTTTCAACCTTTTCACCCATTGTACCACTTTTAGGATATGGCAACATCCGAGGACCACCAGTCGCCTAGCAAGGTGTCAAAAACTTGATGACCAAAAAAAAGAAAAAAGAAAAAAGTGATAAAGTACAGGTAGTCCTCGACTTACAACAGTTCGCTTAATAACTGTTCGAAGTTACAATGGCACTGAAAAAAGTGCCCCCCCCCAAGGCACAACCGAGCAAGACACCTGCCTGCCCGCCCGGCGTCGTTCTTCCTCCTGTCTGAGGTTTTCATTGTTGTGAGCATTTCTGTTGAGGATTGGCAGCGGGGGTGGGGTGGGGGGGTGTTTGGTTTTTATTCCCCCCGTCTGCTGGGTGGTTGCAGCAGGTTTGGGTCACTTCACATGACCCTGGGACACTGTGACCGTCAGAAATATGAATCAGTTGCCAAGCATCTGAATGTAAATCACAAGACCCTGGAGATGCTGCAACATTCCAGCTGATCGGTGCTTCTTCTGGGCTCAGCAGAAGCACCAGGATCAGCGCCGAGCTCCAGCTGGATCCTGGCACTGATCCTGGCGCTTCCGCTGAGCCCTGACAGCCCTGCAGCTCCAGCCATCTCTCACTCAGGCTTGTGCAGTGCTGCCACCAGTTCAGCTCATTCCCCTCCCCTGCTACCACTTATGGTCGCTTACCACCTGCCAGGTGCCAATGTACCACAGGTGGTACCCGTACCACTGGTTGAAAAGCCCTGCTCTATGCCATGGTATATCTTGGGTTAAATTTACTTTTGTGGTAGAATGGCTTACTGTGGTAGCCATTTTGTGAATAGGCAAGTCTCTTGCGACAGCCATTGTTGTGAGTATGCTTATCACATGCTCTCGAAGCCCCAAATGTGCTCCTGATCCTTGTGAAATGGACTTAAATCTTGTGGCCTAATAACTTGGAGTAAGAGTTATAATACCATGCAGTAGAAAGGGACTTTTGGACTAAGTTATGAATGTAGATGTCTTAAGTTTTGCAGGTGCCTCGTGGTGTGGTCATATAACACTCGACTGCTCTCTTTGAAGGGTTAGAGGTCGCCGTGGCTTGTAATGTTTTGTTTGTTTGTGCTCTGCAGGATACTGCTAAATGTTGGGGGTTTCCTTTCTAAAATGCTTTGGCTCACTTAAAGCCTTGATCTCAGTTTTTAGAGAGAGAGACCTCACCATGACCGAGAACGACGTTGACAATGAGCTGCTGGATTATGAAGATGATGAGGTGGAAAACCAAACTGCTGGAGAAGGGGTGGACGTCCCATCTAAAAAAGACGTCAAGGGATCCTATGTCTCCATCCACAGTTCTGGCTTCCGTGATTTCCTATTGAAACCAGAACTCTTGCGTGCCATTGTTGATTGCGGCTTTGAGCACCCTTCAGAAGGTGAGTCGAGGTGGCTGGTCCCGTGGGGAACGTGGGCTCATCCGGCCTCCGTGGCACCCGGTGTTAATCCTTTTCCTTATTCTCAATGCAGTACAACACGAGTGTATTCCACAAGCAATCTTGGGCATGGATGTCCTGTGCCAGGCCAAATCTGGCATGGGCAAGACTGCCGTCTTCGTTCTTGCTACGCTTCAGCAGTTGGAACCAATAACAGGACAGGTATGTGACTGAAATCCAGACTTCCCCCCCCCCTCCCCTTAGATCAGGGCTTTTCAACCTTTTCACCCATTGTACCACTTTTTGGATATGGCAATATCCGAGTACCACCAGTCGCCTAGCAAGGTGTCAAAAACTTGATGACCAAAGGAAAAAAAAAGGAAAAAAGTGATGAAGTACAGGTAGTCCTCGACTTAAAACAGTTCGCTTAGTGACTGTTCGAAGTTACAATGGCACTGAAAAAAGTGCCCCCCAAGCCACAGCCGAGCAAGACACCTGCCTGCCCACCCGGCCGTCCTCTTCCTCCTGTCCAAGGTTTTCATTGTTGTGAGCATTTCTGTTGAGGATTGGCAGCAGGGGTGGGGTGGGGGGGTGTTTGGTTTTTATTCCCCCCATCTGCTGGGTGGTGGCAGCAGGTTTTGGTCACTTCACATGACCCTGGGACACTGACCGTCATAAATATGAATCAGTTGCCAAGCATCTGAATGTAAATCACAAGACCCTGGAGATGCTGCAACATTCCAGCTGATTGGTGCTTCTTCAGGGCTCAGCAGAAGTGCCAGGATCAGCACCGAGCTCCAGCTGGAGCCTGGCGCTTATTCTGGTGCTTCCACTGAGCCCTGACAGTCCCAAAGAAGTGCCGATCAGCTGGAAAGCGGCACTGATCCTGGCTCTTCCGCTGAGCCCTGACAGCCCTGCAGCTCCAGCCATCTCTCGCTCAGGCTTGTGCGGTGCTGCCACCGGTTCAGCTCATTCCCCTCCCCCGCTACCACTTTTCTAGGATGGTCGCATACCACCTGCCAGGTGCCAATGTACCACAGGTGGTACCCGTACCACTGGTTGAAAAGCCCTGCCCTAGATGATAGATGGGCACAGGTGCTTGAAACCTGATCACACAGGTGAGCTAAGGATAAGCAGGGGTGATTGGGAGAAATTACAAAATTATTTTTGCCCTCTTTGACAGGTTTCTGTGCTGGTGATGTGTCACACGCGTGAGCTGGCCTTCCAGATTAGTAAGGAATACGAACGGTTCTCCAAGTACATGCCCAGTGTCAAGGTGAGAGTCAGGAAGTTGCTTCTGTTCTGAATCAACAAGAATGCTCTTGTTTACCATCATGGAAGTGAACCAAAGTCTAGATCAGGGATGGCGAACCTTTTAGAGACCCAGTGCCCAAACTGCAACCCCAAACCCACTTATTTATCACCGGGTGCTGGGTGGGCATGGCCACGGTGGTCATGGTAGACTCGGTGTGCGGGGCCAGGGCGGCGGGGGCTAGTCCCTTGCCATCTCCGGGGCATGGCACGAGTGCCCACAGAGAGGGCTCAGTGCCGCCTCTGGCACACCATAGGTTCGCCACCACTGGCCTAGAGGATTATTTCTTTGTATATATTTATATGCCAACTCAGGTGATCCTAGGCAGCTCACAAAAGCCACGCGGCATGATTTTAATATATGCTCAGAAAATAAATAAAAAACACATACAGTGATGTGACCTTAACTGCTTTCCAAAAATATAACGGGGAAAGAGCCATTCTAACCTCAGGAGGGAGGGTTAACTTCGGGCTGCTCTTAAAAAGGCTTATTTTGAAGCGTCTTCCTTTTTAATTTCTCATAGTCTAGGGCAGGGGTAGGCAACCTTGGCTCTTTTATGACTCATGGACTTCAACTCCCAGAATTCCTGAGCCAGCTATGCTGAGGGGAAAGGGCTCAGGAATTCTGGGAATTGAAGTCCACGAGTCATAAAAGAGCCAAGGTTGACTACCCCTGATATACACTATGTTTATTCAATATGTATACCCAGACGGTAGTTTGCTTGCAAAAACATGGGATTGTTGGGGGTAAACCCATCATCGTACTTACCCGTACCCCATTCCTAATCCCTTACCTTTACCCCTTTCCACACTCATTCCGACCCTATCCTTCCCTTACATGTATAAAATCTAATAAAATATTTTTTAAAAATGTATTTAAAAGAGGTCTGTGGTAAAGAAAAGTTTGAGAACCACTGCTTTAAGCACTGGGGCAAGACCAAACATCTCTTTCTTGGCCTGGAGCAGATAATATACAAATAGGAAAGGATTGAAAAGTTTCCTTGGGCTGCTGTGTCAGATGTAGCATAATATTCTGCTTATTACCACCCCTGAAAACTCAGGTGGTTGATAAGCAAAATCTAGCAACCATGCCAGACAATATTCCTTCATTCTTCCCTCCCATAGGTGGCAGTGTTCTTTGGGGGCCTGTCCATCAAGAAGGATGAAGAGGTTCTGAAGAAGAACTGCCCCCATATTGTGGTGGGGACCCCGGGCCGCATCCTGGCTTTGGCCCGCAACAAGAGCCTTAACCTCAAACATATCAAGCATTTCATCCTGGACGAATGTGACAAAATGCTTGAGCAGCTTGGTGAGTGTAGAGCAGGGGTGTCAAATTCAATTTCATTGAGGGCTGCATCAGCATTGCAGTTGCCCTCGGGGCGTGTGTGTGTGGCCAGGGTGGGTGCGGCCTACTGGGTGGGCGTGGAGGGAGTGGGTGTGGTCTGCTGGGTGGGCATGGTCAGCTCTACATCGTTCGCGTCAAGGGTGCCTGTGGGGGCCTGGGCAGGAGTGGGACAGATCTGAGGGTCTCTGGCAGAAGGGGGTGGGACCGGGGCAAGGCCCAAGGCATGGTGCACTGGAGGAGCCTCACTGTTCCTCTCAGGCCATGTGGGGGCGGGCTGGATGGTGATGCGGGCTGCCCGGAGCCCTGGGCAGCAGAGGTCAAACGTCCAGCCTGGCCCTCAAGCACCCGCGGCACCAAGCCCAGCCCCACTTCCCCAAGGGGGCGCCCAGCTGCACTTACCTCCTCCTCAAGGCTGCTGTGCTTGCTCTCCTTAGCAAGGTTGTTCATGATGGGTACCAGGGCAAAGTCAGAGGGAGACTGAATGCGTTTCAGCATAGAGGGCCAACACAAAATTGTACATTGGCTCCCGGCCGGCCAGGGCCAAGGCAGCGGGGGCCGTTCCCTCACTGTTTCCAGGATGGCTTTGCGGGCCACATCCGGCCCCGGGCCTTGTGTTTGACATGTCTGGTGTAGAGGGTATTCTGGAATAGAAAGAAAAAGAGCTTTATAGGAGCCAGAAATCTACATTGTGCCCTTTGTAGACCGAGTTTGTATGAAGGCAAGGACGAATCGGAAGATTCTCTCTTGTTGTCAGGCCACTAGCCGTTAATGGGGATACTTTCTGACTTTGGCTGCTTCTCTGTTAAAATTGAGGTATATCTGTAACTTTCAATATGATCTGTAGAGGAACTAAAACATACATTCTTAATAGCAGGCGCACTTAGACATATACGGTTTCGTAATGCTTTACAACAATCTCTGAGCGGTTTACAAGAGTCAGCATATCGCCCCCTTCCCCCCCCAAACAATCTGGGTCCTCATTTTACCGACCTCTAAAGGACGGAAGTCTGAGTCAACCTTGAGCCGTTCAGGATCGAACTCCTGGCAGTGGGGCAGAGTTAGCCTGCAACACTGCATTCTACCCGTTGCGCCACCACAGTTCCTATTTTTTCCAAGGCTTTGAGATGTGTGGTATGTTTAACCCAAGACAACTATTGTTAACCTGTTGGTCATCCTTCTTTCTCTCTCCCCCCCATCCCCCCCCAGATATGCGTCGAGATGTCCAGGAGATCTTCCGCATGACCCTGCATGAAAAGCAGGTCATGATGTTCAGTGCTACTCTCGGCAAGGAAATCCGCCCCGTGTGCCGCAAATTCATGCAAGACGTAATTAAAACCCTTCTACCTTCTTTATCCACCTGGCCGGTCAGCCTACCTCTCTCCCTCCCTCTCCCCCCGTCCAGGGAAGGAGAAGGGGGCCGGCACGGAGAACACGACCACTGTCTACAGTTCACTGGGCTGCAGCCTTGCTGCCCCTCACCTAGCCAGTTCTGCTAAGGCATCTGTAGGAGACATACTTTCCGGAAGATCATTCGGGTTACTCTTAAGAGCCTCTTTGCACACACGAGCAACCGCACTTCTCCCACTAGGGTCAAAACAGCACTTCTGCTCTGATCTTGTTTTTGCCCCTCTGGCACACTTGTCTTAGAGATCATCTACATCTTATTCAGGGCGGATCCATCCCAGAAGGATCCTCTTTATGCTTTTCCCACCTGGCAAGTGGCGCAACATTGGCAGCGCTGCCTTGCTGCCCTAGTTCCCTCCCTCCGCGTGGAATTTGCCGGCTTGTGTCAGCACCGTGCACAGAAGATCCTGGCCCACACAC